GGTGATGCAGTATCGGTAAATTCTAAAGAGAGTCAACCGCGGCGTACGAGCGACCCTGCGGTGCGAGGGCAGGAGAGCCAGGGCCGGGGCCGCGGAGGACGGGAGGTCCAAGGCACGGAGCTCCGCGCGCCGTCGTCAGAAGCGCTGGGCGTGACTAGGGAATGACGCGCAGCAGTAAACTGTGGGGGAATAAATGGCAGAGTGTGAACGCACCCCGGGAAAGCAACCGCCACCTCAGCGTGCACCTTCCAGGCCCTGGGGACTTAACGGCGCACCGGGAGGGCCTACCAGCTGGGCCACCACTGTCGGCCGTTGCGTGTCCTTTCCCCCTTTGTCTACGGCAGCTGGGAAAAGGGTCTTGCGATTCAACACGCATGATTCCGTCTCCTGGAAGGACTTCGTTATAAGCGTCTTTGCTCTCGCTGTTTCGTTTAGGTTGTCAGATAAAACAATTTGGAGTTGACATGGAACTTTAAAGTCCCTGCTGGCTGAGACAGCGGCCAGCTGGTTTGCAACCTTTGCCAATTGCCGTGGTGTAAACACCTGCTCCTTTGGATTTCCAGCCATCAACATCAGTTGCTGAATGTGGCGTGAGGGAGAGGTACAGAGCATCAGCCTGCTGTACAGGATTTCTACTGTTACATGCTATTGAATCAAACTGGTTCGATACACGTAAATAACCTCAAGAATACAGAAAGAGTCAACAGTAGGAAAGTAGTAAGGAAGTGATGAGGTTTCAGAATTTGTTACTTTTGTTTGTCATATTACTTTTTTAATGGCGAACTTCTGTAATTTACTGTTTAATAATGGTTGTGTTCAGCAATTGGCTTGCAACATTCTCAAAATTGCAACAGTCTGTCTAGGTTGGGTGCCCCCGTCCCACTGACCTGCCACTGAGTCCTTCCATCTCTCTCTAGTTAGGGACTCGGTAGCTTGCAAGTAAAGCACTAAAACATTAGCGAACAACAGCAAATGAGTTCATCGGCCTCTTTTTCGAAGGCTGTAACACAGCTCTATCATCCTTCTTGTTGCTTGGCGTCTAAGGAACATTTGATCTTTAGTTCAGGTTGGGCAAGTTGAATGGTTTTCAAGGCATGATACTCCTAGCAGGCTAGAAACTCAGCTCCATTTCCTCAAAGGTACTCCCGGGCTGGGGCAGACTCTGCTCCCGCCGGGGCCGATTTCCTTCCATTGCACTCACGCTGCGAGCACGGCCCCTGGCCCTCCCCGCTCCTGCCTGCAGGCTGCAGCGGCCTCTCCCAGGGCTGCGGGAGCAGCCGTGTGGCTGGCTCTCTGGCAGGGGGTGGAAAGCGGCAGATAAACAGAAGATGAGGGCCAGAGAGCGCCTCTGGGCTGGCACCTGATGCCCACACACCGGCAGGGTGTCGAGGAGCTTCCACGACAAACGGGACTCCCAGAATGACACCGTGTCACAGATTGGGGCTTGACTACTTTTTTAAAAAAAGATTATATTTACTTATTTTTAGAGAGGGGGGAGGAAGGGAGAAAGGGAGGGAGAGAATTATCAATGTGTGGTTGCCTCTCTCTCTCTCTCTCTCTCTCTCTCGTGCGCCCCCTGCTGGGGACCTGGCCCGCCACCCAGGCATGGTGCCCTGACTGGGAATCGAACCGGTGACCCTTTGGTTTGCAGGCCAGTGCTCAAGCCACTGAGCCACACCAGCCGGGGCTGACTACTTTGTTTTGAAACAGGCGAAGTGCTTAATTGTGGTTTCAATTTTAGAGCACAACTTCAGGTGACTTGAAAGAAGACTGTCCCGATATAAGGGACATCCGCAAAAGCCCCGCCCCGCCTCCCCAGCCTCGTGCCGTCTGCTCGGGCAGGTTCCCGCTGCTCCGTGAGCAGAGCCCTCGCCCAGCCCCGGCAGTGGCCTTCCTGCGTCCTCGGTTCCCCTGCGGAGCCGCGCCGCCTGGTGTGGGAATTATTGTCGCTGCCAGTTTTACACTGAGTGCACTCAAATGACTTCCTCACTGAAAATGGATTGTCTGAGTCTCTCATTTCCTTTTCTTAGTTTAGACCTGCTTTAAAGTTCTTGAGAATGAGGGGCCTGTTCATACCCTGAAAATCAGTCAGCTAGAAACAGCACGGTGGCACTTGAACCCTACGTGCCATTCGGAGCAGGAGACGGTGACCCCCTTTTCCCTTTAAAATCCCCTGCCAACTCCCCTAGACACGTGTATCCATGGAGAGGTGGATCGGCTCCAGGCTGGTCGGGAAAACGTGTAAGAAAACGGCAGTTCTGGGACTGTTCGGTTTGGAAATAAAAGGTAAATTGGGGAACTGTGGTTTGAACTCTCTGTGCGCTGGTTTTTAAATCCCCAGGGTCTTCGCACTGGAACAAGCCATGGGTGCAAGGTTAGTAGCCTAGTCATTACCAGTCCTGCAAAGCTCAGAAACCGGTAACTCGAGGCGATGGGCGGGGCCGGCGTGTCAGCCTCGTTTCACAGCAAAGGTTCCACCGGCACCACAGGCGAGCGGAAAGCAAGCTCGTTAGAAAGTTATGAGAAAAAAAATCCGCATGCAATTACACTAGTGTAAGCGCGTGTGTGAAGCACCTGTGTGACACTACGAAGCTGAAGGTTAATAGGGAAGCTTATTAATAAGAAACAAAAAGGGTTACAGAACGTAGAGCATAAAACTGCTCTTCCCCTGTTACAATTATGCTCAAACACATCACCAAAGACCCATTCGCCGTGATCGCTGAGGCACAACTGGAGAGAACCCACAGCTTAACCACTCCCCTCGCACACATGGCACAGGCGGCACGTATTTCCCAACCCAGACTCCACCGGCTGAGCTGGCGGCCACCAGGAAGATGCTGGCCCCACGGGGCAGCCAGGAGGAGCCTCCGTTACGCACCGGGGGAGGGCTGACGTGGCTTTCCACCTGCCCCAAGCTGACCCTGAACGGCCACAGTTTGTCTATTTCAAGTTCACTTTGCAAGAGATACAATTATGCTTCTTATGGCCGGAAGTACTCATCAATGGGATACAAGCTTCCAAGGGCTTATAACTCAGACACACAACTTTGCCAGCCCGATCCTGGTGTCCTTATAGCTGCTACGATTATCAAGAAACCAGACCCTGCAGCCGCTGGGCCCTGAGCGGGCACCGCCCAGGGCAGGGCCCCTTCCGGCAGTGCCTCTGGTCTGCGGAGCAGGAAATGGCAGACGCGGCTGGAGGCCGGGCCTGCATTGAAACCGTCCTTTGAGGGCGATAGTTGCTTGGCCCTCCCGACTCTCGGAGGCACGGCCGCACTGCCTTCGAGTGACGCTCCCACTCGTCACCACTGACATCTCCCTGAGCTCCTCCTCACACGTCTCACGTGCTCCAGGCGGCCCCGAGCCGGGGGCTGCAGGCTGGACACAGGTGTCACTGCCGGCTGCCTACCAGCTGCGCCTTCCCACATCCCGGACCCGAGCTCCGGTGTCGGCGAGCGGCACCATCCGCGCACTGGTGGGGACGCTGGCCCGACTCCGGGCAGCCGGGCTGGGCCTGACTTACCTACGGTGAGCCCGTGCTTACCAGCGACTGGGTCCATGCGGTGCCCAGCCGCAGCCGGTGAGGCATGGCAGACGTGCAGTTGGGGGCTCCTGGGGAAGGTTTGCTTTTCCTACAAAACTATCGCTCTTCGTTCGCAAAAATTCAGCCACAACCCCCTCAACCGCAGTCTGAGGAGGTCGGCCACGACGACGACACAGAGAAAAGACAGGGAGAAGCTCGACCCTCAGTCACAGCTTCAGGCTCCAGGAGAAAGTGACGCTCCGAGAACCCACTCTGTGGGTGCCAGGAGCAGCCCCAGGCGAGGCCACCGGAGGCTGTCGGCCGTGGCGTGGGGCCGAGACCCACCATCTCGACGTGAAGTGTAGGGCTGCCGAGCCTCGGCTGTTGCCTCCCTGAATTTTTGACACCCTGTGAAGACTCATTTGCATTCAGAAGCGCATCCTATGTCAAGATGATCAAACGCATGTTAACGAGGGAGTGAAGTGTTTGTAAAGAAAGATGAAAGGAATCAGGGTTATTGTGCCTGGAGGAGGTAACCCAGCCAGGACCTTCTGAACCCAAAGTGGGCGGCGTGCCAGCCTGCATCTCCGAAGAGGACAGGAAATGCCGAAGGGGCCCAGAGGTGGAGCAGAATGGACTTTCTAGCACGCGTGCGGGCGGCTGCTGCTCCGCGGGCGGCGCGCAGGGCGATGTGGCGCATTCGGAAAACGCAGCCCAGGGCGTGCCTGCTTTGGGACGGGCCACGCTGCCACAGACGTGCTCAGGCGTGGCGTTTGGGTGACGCCAGCTGAATACACAGATACAGTTAAATATGTCCAACGTCCCCCATTGGGAGGCGGGGATGCTGCACACAGTGCTTACAAGTGTCTAAGAGGAAGCGCGGGCAACGGTGTGAGCCGGAGCTCACGCCATGCCGGACGGACGGAAACCAGAGGGGCCTCTCATGCTGGCTATGGCTGCACTCCCATCCAGCAGCGCCCCCGGTGCCCCGGTCTCCCTCTCCGCAGAGTGACGGGGCTGACGCTGGCCCCTGACCCCACGGCCCAGGTCCTGGCTCCCCGGCCCTCCGAGCTCTGGGGCACAGCCCATGTTGTATTCGCGTCTCCCCGGGTGAGCTCGCGGCCCAGGCTCCTCGCTGCGACTCTGGCTGCACTGTTGCTGTCTGCAGATGCTCTGGGATGAGTGCTCCCTGAGGGACATTAGCTTCTAGCCGGCTGTCCCCGCCCACAGGGTGCAACTTTGCCTGCAGTCTAACCACAATCGGCCCGATGAACGGGTTAAAGCGTTTTTTTGCAGGTCCCCGCGGGGCATTCACTGGTGACCAGGACACATTGCTTTGAGTGTTTGGAAAGAAAAGCAGGAGAAGAAAGGTACCGACACCCCAGGGCAAGGACGGGAAGCCTGGAAACACAGCCCCAACACCAAGGACCAGAGAGGAGCGGTCAACACCCGTGGACGAGAAAACAAGAGGCACATACGTGTTGGGCTCAGGTCGGCGGCCTCGGAAGCGCCTTCCCCGGGAAAGCCGAGAGGCTCCGCCGCGTCTGTGTCAGGAGGAGGGTAGGGCGGGGGCGGGGGAAGCACCAGCTGAGGGGGCCCCCGGGCAGTGCCTCTGGGAGGCTTTTGTGGCACCTGCCGTCCGACACCTAATGGAATCAATGAGGGTCACTTCAGCAGGTTAAGGCCAGGGCTCCCTGCCCTCCACAGACGGCACCTCGCCGTCACCCCCTCACCGAAGCCACCCTTACCCGGCACCAAATCCGGCCTCATTCAACACCAGATCCAGCCACACCCGGCACCAAATCCAACCATGCTCAACATTCATTCAACACCAGATCCAGCCACACCCGCTACCAAATCCAAACACACGTGGCTCCAAATTCAACCCCGTCTGGCGCCACGTCCAACCACACCGTGCACTAAATCTCTCACCCAGCACCAAACCCAGCCATGCTTGGCAGCAAATCAAAGTCACTCAAAGTCTAACATTTCACAAACAGAGCGCACGATCCCCTGGCCACTTGGGAAATACGGGCTCCGTCGCAATTTGTCTCGGGCAGGCACCGCTGTGTGTAGAGGCTGGGCGTGCAACTGTCCTTAAAAGCTCCCTAGCGCCTCCGTCAGGTGGAGAGGAACCGCGTCATTCACGCGGCCCAGTCCAGGCTCAGGGGCGCGCCTCTTAGCGTCCTCTCCTGCAGGGTGGCGTGGCCGCCGCCCTCGCCTGCCGCCGTAAGCCTCTCCCAGGGCCGCCCCGCTCCACGGCCTGGCGCCGGCGGGTGCGGACTCTGTCCAGAAGAGGGTCCTGAGTGGGATTTACACACTGGGGGTCCCTTCACAGTTTCACGTGAAAACAAGGCTTTCTTCTGTGAATGACATTTTTTGAAAGTCAGTGACTGAATAAATGATATGCAGAACTAGTGCCGTAAGTCACGCTTACTATCATTTCTTTTACAAATGCTTCCTTCACGCTTCAAAGCTTAGAATCTTCTAGAAACTAAGAGATTTCATGCGTCCTGCTCTTGATCAGATCTCTAATAAAAGTCTTAAGGAGCATCATTTCTTCATCAAGAGACACACCTATCTATTCCTGCTCCTCGTTAGAGTTCCTCAGCCACGAGACACAGTGATTTCACCACATGGACACATCGCTTCCTGCCTCGACGTGCCCGTGAGCTGTGAGCGGCGTGGCCGGGCACCGCCAGGCCCGGGCACGACCCACAGGGGGAAGAGGCCGCTCCTGGACGCTTATGTCTGTTTGCTATGGAATGGGGGTCGAGACCCCAATCTGGCCAGCTGTTCTATCTCAGTAGAAAAAGATGCTCAACATTTTTTTTTTTTTTTTGTGGACAGGGGCTACTTTTATTACTTTTCTACTTTAACTAAAGCGTAGACTTTGGCTGTCAGTTCTCCTCTTGGCCGTGTTGGTGTGTTTTTGTTCACGGGGATTTGTGGTGGGGAGGGAAGTCTGCCTCGAAATGCCCCGTGACCTCAGAAAGCATTCGAGCTACTCGAGGTGGGAAGGCGCGTCCGCCCTCACCTAGGGGAGTTTACAGACCAGAGGGACGCTCGGCGGCGAGCTACGACCAGCCGCACCTCTTCTGCGTGGCACGCTCCGTAGCGAGGGGGTTTTCCCTCCAGTTTCTGACGTTCCAACGCCCACGCCCCCTCGTGCTGCGGCGGCCCGGCTCTCCGAGCACGTCGGGCATGCGGCTCGGCCCTCCGGGTGTGAGCCAGGGCGTCCTGCATGTGCGGGCGAGGGCTGCGCGGCCTGGGGCCCGGCACGGTGCAGCCACAGCCCCACTGCCACTACAAGAGGACGCTCCTCGGAATTTCCTCGGGGGACGCTCAAGCTGAGGGCTGCCGTCCCGTCAGGGAATGGTGGGGGAGGCGAGCCTGGGAGGGAGGTCGCGGTCTCCTCATGAGAAAAAGGAGAAACCGGCTTCATTTTGATGCGCTCCTGAGCATGTTTTCTTTAAACCTGAGCATATTTGCCTTGGGAAGGAGGGTGAACTGACATGAAATGCAGGCTCTTGCTCCTCAGGGTCATCGACTCCCAGGCCGTGGAAGGCTCAGATATTAATAGTGAGGTGCCGGCGAGGGGAACACGCTGACAAACCGCCAAGTAGCTCTTCTGCAGCGTCACGCCCCGACAAAGGCCACTTGTCCCAGGCGCCCCTGAGCTGTGGGGGCCGCAGCCATTCAGTCAAAGGCAAAATGTGGGTGACAAGTGGACAAAACGGCATCAAAGGGGCCACCTGACCGCTTCCATAAGGGCCCTGGCGCACTGCAGTCCGGGGGCTGACTCAGGCACCCCTCTTTCCAGCACCGCTTCCCTGCGCCATCCGCGATTTTAGAATAAATTAACCGTCCCTGGCGGGTGGAACCTTCCGTCCCGCCGCTCCACTTCCCGGTCCCGCGGGGGTGGGATCAACAATCTAACAGGTCTCTGCTCACAGACGTTACGATTCTACCCTCTTTCCTCTGGATCCCCCTTCTTATTTCCTGAGGTATCAGGGCCTTGGCGACAGATGTGAAAGGCATGCAAGCGGAGGCCAGTTTCACACAAGGCGCTCAGAAGTGACCCATCCGCCTGCCGTCCGCCGAAATCTGCTCTCTCAGCACCATGCACACACGTCACCGAGGGCGCATCCTCCTCCCGCGGAGACCAGGCCACACGCCACAGTCACGCTGCCCACGGCCGCCCCGCCCGCTCCTCCCGCGTCCCCCGCCTTCTCCCCGCCCGCCCCCTGCACGCCGGGGGGCTCCGCGTGCGCTCCCACGGCCAGACCGCTTCCCTCCAGACGTCCCCTCGTTAGTGTTAATACTTTCGGTGTTAATGCCAGGCCAGCAGCGGCCGCGAGGTTAGTGGCAGGGCCAGGGTCGCAGGCAGAGCCGCCCGGGGCGGGCAGGCCGCAGGCCACTCACTCACCCGTCGCGCCCTTCCTGCTCTCCTCGCGGTCCTCGGTGCGCGGCGGCACCCGGGGGCTGGGCGGCGGGGGCGCAGGAGCCCGCCTCTTCTTCTTCTGTAGGTCCATCTGCGACCCCAGCGACGCCTGCGGAGCACAAAGGGCCGTCCGGGTCAGGGCCTCTGCTGGCGGAGGGGTGCCCGTGGGAGCCCCCCGCCCGGACACGCTAGCTCGGGGGACACGGTGCTCTCCGGCCCCATGGCGACCAGCGATGCGCGGACTCCCCCAGGACCCAGATGACGTGGGAAACGCGGGGACGTCTTGGTGTGAAGGTGAGAAAGGGGATCCTCAGCTCCCAATTCAATGGAAAGGAAAACTGTTTTTCCTGGAAGCTGCATGGAGAGCTGCCACGAGCGCGCCCACGCAGAGGAAGAACAAAAGCAACACACATCGACTTCAAAGGTTTTGAAAATTATACAAGCAAGAGGAAGGGAAAAAAACCGCGTTAGTAACTAACACGCAGCTGAACTCCTAACGCTTGGCACCCTTTTGTCGCGTCTCTAGTTTCTCTTTTAAAAATCTTATTTTTTTCCTTCCTTCTACATGATGTTCTAATCCATGCAAAATAAAAAGGTAAGAATATGTCATTGTATAAGTGACACTGAAAAAACCCTCTATAATGTATTTTATGTAAAAAACAGACATAACACAAAGCTCAGAGTCTGAGCAGCAGTTTCTTGTCCGCCGCCCCCACAGCAGCCCCGACCACTTCAAACTCCTTTCTCTGTTAAAGTTGACTCCATTTTTATAAATAATAAGCTTATTTCTTGATCTTCCCACGTTAGATACTGGCTTCCGCGGACCCGCGAGGCACTACCCATGAGCACAGACACATTCACTCATGCTTTCCTCCCCCAAGTCCCCAATCTTTTCAAAAATCACAGCAAGAGACTGAAACTCACCATTGAGTTAGAGAGTTATAATAGATAGTATAATTACATAAAACAAATGTTCTGCAGGAGGGGCTTTCTCCAGCTGAGACGTGTAACATGTCCGTTGCCCACATTTTCTTTCTACGCCATGTTTTGTTTTCTCTGAACGTGATGACCGATTTGCTTCCTCACTGAGTTTCCTAGAAATTCCTTTCCCTGGACTCAGTTGTGTTTTTTTTTTCCTACCACTGGCTTCTTGGATCCCCTGCCACTTCAAAAAGTCACGTCTCCCTTTTCACGGAGCACCATCTCCCCCGGCTTTCTGAGACCAGACGCACGTGAAATCAAGTTCTGAGACTTTGAAAATCTAAACACGCTTCCGTTCGACCGCCCCGAACGGTCAGCATGAATGTTTCCGGGACCTCGGCTGCTAATTCCTGTCTCTCAAATGCGGACCCATCAGCCACTGGCTCCGAGCTGGAAACCGCTGGGCCGCGCGGCGGGTCTGCTTTCCCTCCGTAGGCGCCGTCCCTTCCGGGGCCCTGCCGGCCCTTAGGACGGCGGGTCCTGGCTGGAGTCCTCTCCCCTGCCTGCGCACCTGCGACCCCTGCGACCTGCGCGTCCCTTCGCTCTGCAGAACCTTCTGCTCTTGTGGTTTTCGACGTTTTCCTTCCCTCTGTTCTCTCTCTCTGGGTTCCGATCAGTTGAACAACCGAGGGCTCTAAATCCATGTTCTAATTTTTCTGGGATATTCTCGCCCAGTTTAAAAATACTTTGCTTCCTTTCTTGGAAATTTCCTTTACCGCATTTGCCACCTTTGGTGAATTTATTAAATTCTGCGACTGTACTTTGTACTTTGCGAGACCCCTTTTTTTGTTTTGTGGTTTTACTTATCAATAGCCTCCCGTCTCCTGGGTACAACACCTTCCCTCTCTCTGAGGCTGTCAGCCACGTCTTTTGAAATGCTTTCAGTTCACCTGCTCCCGTCTCCTGCCCTGTCTGTTCCTCCAGGTTCCCTTTCCCCTCTTTGGCTTGGCCTCCCCGGGTCCCATTCTGGCCCGTCCTGCGTGCCCCTCGGCCGGCCGCTCACATCGTGTGTCTGTGGACAGGCCTGCCGACAAGCCGGAGCCCCGCAGGCCCCTGGGCCGGCGCCTGGCTAGCTCGCTGGGGACCCTGGGTGGCCAAGCACGGTCTCTTCCCTGCGAGGGACTTCCCAGCCTCCTGCCTGAGGCAGCAGCTGATTTGGGGGGGCGGTCCAGTGGGGAACCCGGGGTCTTGGTCAGCATGTGAGTGCACTTTCCTGTCTCTGGTGCACTTGGCACATCTGGGGCCTTGGAGTCAGAATCCCCAGGTTGGTTCACATCCACATGGCAGGGCCGGCCTCTGGCTGCACGTGGTAGGCGGTGTCTGGAGGTCTCCCTGCCACAGGTGCACGTCCGGTGCTTTGTCAGCAGCTCCCCACGCTGGGAGCTGGGGCTTGGGCACCTCCTCCTGCGCCGTCTGGAGGCCGGGTCTCTGCTGACGGCCCCGCCTGGTCTCATTCCAAAGCCTGTGCTGAGCAGGGTTAGGGCTCCTCCTCCCTTCTCCCTGGCGTGGTGGACTGTCCTTTCCACCCGTCTCTGTGGGGGGTCGAAAAGGGAGAGACAGGCGAGCCCACGGGATCCCCCCATCTTAGCAGCGCCAAATCCGCCCTGTGCTCCACGAGCCCTCATTCAGTCGGCCCCTCGCACGTTGTCGGCGGAACATCGAGAGGGTTTGGTTTTGGCTAAATGTTCCGAACGCCCTTGTAATCGTGGCTGTCCCATGTTTTCTTTTCCTTTCCTTTCTCTTTCTTTCCTTCTCTCTCTCTTCCTTCTGCTCTCCCTCTCTCCATCCCTCCCTGCCTCCCTTCCTTCCTCTCTCTCTGTGAGATCTCAATAAACCCTTTTACTGCAACTTTGGAGGTAAAGAGCAGGTCAGACTGAGACGTCGGAGTCGGAAGCTGCTTCCCCGTCTCGAAGGATCCCTGCGGGCGGCTGGCCGCGTGAGTCCGCAGGGAAGTCCCCGGGGCTCAGCGGGGAGCGGACCTCCGGCCGCCCCGCCCCCTGCTGGCCTGCCTGCAGTCCTTCGGTCCACGCTGCTCTGGCTCCGGCCTGGGCTCTCGGGTGCGACGCTGGCTTACTGCCTGTCCTGCCGTGACCCTCTCTGTGTCCAGCCACGTGGGGACAATGTTGAAAGGCACATGGCCTTCGCTCTGGTACCTGGATTTCTTCCTTCAGGGTTGGGGTCAAGCCATTCATCAATCACCACTGTTCAAATGCTGTGGGTTTGCCCACCTGCGCTACGTTTGGGTCTATGTTTCTTAGTCTCTTCTTAAAAGACGGCGAGAGACTAGTCGAATGTTGTTTGCTCCCTTGATTCTTCGGTTCATCGACAAGCGGCTGCCTCCTTGTTCTGTGCCAGCAACCGCACTGGGTTCAAAGACACCTCTGTTTCCTGACCTCACGTGTTCACAGTCTAATGAAGGAGAAAGACTCTACAATGTATATGTGACCTTCCAGGCTGGCAACATGGCCAGAGCTGTCCTACGGGGCTCAGGTGGAGACAGGGTTCTTCTGTGAATTCACATTGGCCAGCTGGAGCCCTGGACGCTCCCCGTGATGTCTGGGTAACGAGGACACGTTCCGGAGCTCTGCTCGCGGGCGACATCCCGTGGGAGATAATAGAAAGGATCGCAGGAAAGCAGTTCTGGGAAAGCAGTTCCCCGCTTTGGAAAAGCAATTTTACCCGCTGAGAAACAGTTCTGGCTCCCTCCTCGTGCCCGGATCTGGAGGGGCATCACACGCCGGCAGCCTTTGCGGAGACGGCCCGGCTCGGTCACCGGCACGCCTGCCAGGGATGATCACAGCCACTTGGCAGACTTCTGTTGAGCACCGCGCATTTTCCAGGCCCCGAGCTCCCAAGCTACCGCTGACACATTAATTAAGACGCGAGCTGGAAGAGCGTTTGGCAGGATCTGAGACCGCCAATCAACGCAAGATCTCACGGGCAAACCTTGTTTTCTGGAGCCTTTGTTAGTCTAAGGTGGTTAGAGAGAAGTGTTCTAGTAGACGTATTTGCAGACTTTTAGAAAATAGTAACACTGGCAGCAACAAAGGTTTATTTAACATTCATAAGGGGTGCCAACGATGTCACACATGGCTACCTTAACAGCTCCCGGAGGAAGGCGCTTTCGCTCCCTCGGAGCCGGGAGAAGAGGCCTTGCCCATGGACACACAGCCAGGACGCGGGCAGAGCTGGGACCTGAGCACGCTGGGACCTGAGCCCACACTCCCACGCCCCTTCCTCGCGCGCGGCGGGCCTGGAGCTGTGGACAGAAACGCCCATGTCTGTGAGCCCATGCGCAGCGAAAGCCCGCGGCCTTCTCGCGGCCCCATGCACGCGGTAGCGCGCCCACCTGCCAGGAGATCGGCGCCAGCCTGTGCCTGAAGGCGCTGCTCTGGACCGTTCCAACGCCGATGCCTGCCCGCCGCGTTCTCCGAGGAACACGGGAGAGCCAGCGCCAGTCGCCTTCTGGGGCTGTGCTTGTCGTCTCTGTCGTTCTTAGGGCCAGGGCACAGAGCGGCGGCTTTGGCTGGCGGGGGCCGACTTTCGCCTCCCTCCCACCCGGGGGCCGGCGGGTCTCCCCCGGGTCAGAAACGTCCTGGGTCAGCTCGGTCCTGCCACGGGGGCTTCTTTGGTCTCTGAGCCTCGCTGGCCTGTGACAGGTAAGGCGACGGGAGCCGGCAAAGCGTGCAACAGGGACGCTCCGACGGAGAGAGAGGGGCAGGACACGCCGCCGGCTCCCGGCCGCTGGCCGCTGTGTCTTGCCGTGGATGTGGGGCGCGGGGCCGCTTCCTCTCAGCGTTTCCAATTTCTCTGGGTCAATACCCAGCAGTGGAATCGCTGGGTCATAAGGCAGCCCCATTTTTAACTATCTGAGGGACTCCCAGGCTGTCTGTCCCCACCAGCAGTGCCCGAGGGCCGCTTCTCCCTGTGCCCTCGCCCGCTCGTCACCTCTGGTCTCCTTGGCCAGAGCCGCTCGGACGGGTGCGAGGTGAGAGCCCTGTGGTTTTGACTTGCATTTCCCTGATGACTAGTGGTTTCCTGGCCTGCTGACCATGTGCATGCCGTTGGTGACAACATCTTGAGGACGGACCTCGAGAGCGTTGGGCTAAGGGAGCGACTCCATGAGCA